ATTGAGAGTATACTTGTGTAATTCCTTTATGCCTTTATAGTGGATTGTTTTGTGACTTTTTCCCGTGGTTTTTTTTATCACAATGGGAGGCGCTCCAATTGTGGTTTTTCCACTTTAAAATCGTTGTGTTGATTTGTCTGATTGTTTGATTGAAATTGTTATTTACTAATTAAAATTGATACATAATCACAAATCAATATTTAGGGAATTTCTAGATTTTTCATCAATAAATCCTATTATTTGAACATTTGATCTACAAAATCTTAATTTTTATATTTAAAGTATTTTATGGACAATTCTATCCTTACAAATATTTTTTGAACCGTTAGCAATTTAGTGATATGAACATTCATATTTTACAATGTGAATATTCACATTGACAGTGTGAACATTAACATTGACATATTAACATTCTCATTGACGATGTAAATATTCACATCACAGCACATTCACACTGTAAATGTGAATATTATTAGGGGTATTTTGATAACTATGTCACCTATAAAATTTATTGGAACATAAGAAAATAATGTGGGCTAAATGGAATATAATAAGTAAAAAAATATTTATGAAAAAGTGCTCTTATTAATACATGTACCAATTTAATTGGGATATGTTTTTAAGCTTTGATGTTGTTTTGCCTTTGTGTCAACTTTTTGATATGTTGTGTATAGGGTGTGTGTAGTGCACTTTGAATGGTTTGAAAGTAAAATGATAAACCAAATTGTAAATAGTGGATTGATAAATAACTAAACTGCGGTTGGAGTGATTTAGTTCACTAGTTGATTGAACAATTAATATTCTTAAGCAATTATCAAACATTTGCATAGTATATAATACTAATTTGTATAATATTTTCCTTTATATATATATATATATAACACAACTAATTTTATATAATATTTTTCATATATAATTACTAATTTGTAACAAATTTCATATCTTAAAAATCTCTCACACTCATTTTTATTTTGATATTTCATTAAAAATTAAAAAAATACGTGTTAATTATAATAGAGTGGAGCCGTTTCGAAAGAAGATTATAAATTTTAAAGTTTAATCTGCGGTTAGCGGATAAATCGGTTCATATTAATACGATTTTAACAGATTAAACGATATTTTTGCACAACCCTAATTGTGCATGTACTCCTCAAGCTCTATTTTAGATCAATAAAATTTTCATTTTTTTACCGAATAAAATGAATAAATAAATCACTTGCAGGTTGAAGCTCCTTGTAAAACATGTGACATAAATGGCAATTGCATCCTTAAGAACAATCGTTTGAACTCATGACAATGCTTGTAAGTTGAATCATAATCAAGGACAGATCCAATATTCTTACATAGGGGCAAACCTCAAGGCCAGCCCTGCACATGAACCATTGAATATTTATAGATCATACAGATAAAAATAAGACTACTTAAATATCTCCTATTTGTTATTTTATCCTAATATCTTAATACCCGAAAATAAGACAAATATTATCTCTAATTTAAAAGAACAGTATCCTCGACTTTTTGGAGCCAAAAGTGAATTTTCAAGTTAGGGCCTTTTATATTGTCACGACCCAAACCCGGCCCTATGGGTTTAGCACCGTAACCGGCCAGTAATCCGGGATTACCGAAGGCCTGCAGAACAGTAATACAGTAAAACAGAGTACAGGGCCTGGCGGAAGCCAATACAGTAAGTAAATAGTGTCCATTGAGCTGTGACAGTCTGTATGCCAAAAAGATTTTTCATAAAATCAAGATGAAATCTAATCATCAAATATGAAATTACAAACAAGATCAAATTGCAAATTGTACATCAGAAAATAAAATCTGAAAGTCACAAATCTCAAATAAAAAATCTTAATCTAAGGACTAAATATATTTTATTTACCATAAATGAAAATTTTTGAAGGACTAAGAGCAGGACTGACTCTGACTTTTTCAGGACCCAATTGAATTTTTAACACGAGACCTTTATACAGATATATTTTTTTTTAAATGATTATATGTCTAATTTTTTGGGGGGGTATTTGACAAAATTCGTAAAAAGGTTACTTCCGGTATTGAAATTTACTTAAATATATATTAAAGTTTACAATAAGAAAAATGACCAAAATAATTTAAAATGAAGTATCAAATAAAAAGTAAAGAGGATGTAACAAAAATCACTTAAACATGCATTTTTAGCTATAAATTACTAATCTAGTTCGCATAATCAAACTTATAAGCTAAATCATTTTCGATGGATAAAATTGCTAGTTCATTGAATTTTTCATTTGGCATCGTTGAGTAAAGGTAAGATTTAATCAACTCTAATTTGAAAAGATTAACCGCAAGTAGTATAATTAATCATATTCTATATATAATCCACACATTTGAAAAATAATCATTCAATAATTTCAAACAATTCAAAACATCAATTAATTTCAAATCATAACTAAATTTTTGGGCCTTTGTTTTAGTTAATTTTTCAAGACCCAAAGCAGTGGCTTTCCCAACTTGTACCCAAAGCCGGCCTTGACCAAGAATCAGAAAGTTGAGTTACAAAAAGGTTAGGGTTCCAACTAGAGTTGTAAATGAGTTGAGTCAAGCACACTAGTAAGTTGTTTAAATTTGGTTTGAAAACTTAACGAGTTCCAAAATATATTCAAGTTTGACTTGTTTATATAACGAGTTGATCTCAAGCAAGCTTTTAACGAGCCGAACACGCGTCGAGCTCGAATAGCTTGATTGTTTATAGCGTATGTAAGTTTATCAAGTCAGATAGTAGATTGTTTAAATTTATCTTAAAAACTTAATCAGTTAAAAATTATTTATAAACTTAATTTATTTACCTACCAAATCAATCTCAAATTAATGATCTTTTAATGAGTCAAGTTGAAATAACTTGTCTCATTTAACAGCCATAGCTCTAAGGGGATTTCTTTATGTTGTTTAGGGGCAAAGCACAAACTGACAAACAAGATAGTATTATGTAGTGCTGTTGATGTATTGATAGTAGGCCCTCATTTCTTTCTTTGGTTGTTGAGATGTTTTTCTTTTTTTATTTTTATTTAATTTATTTATTTTTATTTTTTTGAGGGGGAGGGGACATTTGCAGTTTGGGCCTTTCCACTACTACAAAAATAGTTAAAGATCACACTTTGACAAAAAAAAAGATCTCACTTTTATTGGAAGTGTGATAAAAAAAATTAGATTGATATTTTAATCACACTTAATTTGATTGAGTGTGATAATATTTATTTTTTATGTCACTTTTCAATTAAGTGTGATTATATATATATATTTTTAATCACACCTTCTAATTAAAGTGTGATTATATATACACTACTACTTTTTAATTAAAAGGTGTGATTTAAATATTTTTAATCACACTTAAAAGATGTGATGAAAGCATTTTTTAATGACACTTAAAAAGTGTGATTAAAAATGACCATTTTTAATCACACTCCTAAAGATCACACTTTAATAAAACTTAAAAGGTGTGATTAAAAAACATACATCACACCAAAAAAGTGTGATCTTTATCTATATTTGTAGTAGTGTTCAGCCAATCTATGAATATTTTAATTTTGGGTCATGTATATGTGTTGAAAATATTTGGTCAGCCAATCTATGAATATTTTAATTTTGGGTCATGTATATGTGTTGAAAATATTTGGGGGTCCTGATTTTGTACTAATTTTGCGAGGTCCAAAGTGATTGCAAATTTGTTAAGATTATGTTTTTTTTGGGTGAATTTGTCAAGATTATGTTATTCTTAATATAATAAGAGACAAAAGCAAAATTGTATGACATTACAGCAAAAATATGTGATACACATACATAGAGAGATGCAAGAGCCAAATAGCACAAGATCCTTGAAAATGCCAACCGGTACAAGAGTGAGATAGAACAATTAAAGATGACACATACATAGAGACACCTGTGTGCAGCCAAAAACACACCTGTCAAACACTTTGGCTTTGAAGGAGTTGCCTTTTGATCTTGTTCAACTTGCCAAGTACTTCTTGAATTTGAATTCTCTCTGCTACTAATTCTCTGCTACACCCCAAACCCAACTCCAAAATAGCAATAAGATTGCTTTGGGTAGCAACCATGTCTCCTTTATTATGTGTCCTCAATAATCCACTATCCACTACTTCCATAACTTCATCAGGAAGCCGTGTGCTCACCCATTGCCTTAAACTCCTCTCTTCGGTGAACATTTCATCTGTCGGTTTCTTTCTTGTAAATGTCTCCAAAAGCATTATCCCATAACTATATATATCACTACTTGTCGACACTCTTCCTTCACAGCCGTACTCTGTCAAAAAAATTTAAAGAAACATATCTACATATGTACCAAAGGAAAAGTACAACAAAATTGATTAAAACATTTACCTGGTGCAATGTAGCCAAGTGTGCCTAAAGTGTTGGTTTGTGTTGCAGTCTTGTTTTCGGCTAAAATTTTTGTAATACCGAAGTCAGCAACATGTGCAATCATATCTTCGTCTACAAGGACATTGCTAGGTTTCAAATCACAGTGAACCACAGGCTCGGATTGACCATCATGGAGATATTCCAAAGCTAATGCCACATCGATCATGATACTTACCCTTTGAAAGAGATTAAGACAACAGCTATGAGAATATAAGCACTTATCAAGGCTTCCATTAGACATGTATTGCAAAACCAAAGCTCTTAACTCAGGGCTTGAGCATGTAGTTATGACTCTAACAAGATTTCTATGACGCGTTGTTCGCAGTACTTCACACTCTGTATCAAAACTTCTAAAAGCTCCCTCAACTTGCAAGTTTAGAATTTTAATAGCGACGATTGTCCCATCTGACAGTATGCCTTTGTATACAGAACCATAGCTTCCTACTCCAAGCAAGTTGGCTTCACAGAAGTTAGTCGTTGCTCTTTGGAGCTCCTGATATGAAATCTTTTTGTGCTCTATTGTTGCCAATAAATCATTTGAATGCTGACCACGAACATTCTTTCTGCGATGCCCTTTCACAATCCATAGAAGAGAAGAAAATATTACCAGCAATGCAATGGCGGGAACAATGTATCGAAGCAGAACATCTTTTGTCCTCAACCTTTGGGAACTTTGGTGTGGGCAAGGTCGTACTTGCAAAATCGAGTTGCCACAACGTTCTTCATTCCCTATGAAAGAAAGTACTGTGAGATTTGTGAATGGTCCTTTGCTTGGAATCTCCCCTGATAGCTTATTGCAAGATAAATTTAAGAATTTGAGATGTGAAAGTGCCTCGAGAGACTTGGGTATTGGTCCAGACAAATTATTGAGAGAAAGATCCAAAAAAATCTAATGCTACCAAATTTCCTATTGAGTTCGGAATGGGTCCTGAGAATGAATTCCTTGAAAGGTTTAGAGAAGTTAGTCTTTCGAAGGCCCCAATAATTCTTGGAATGTTTCCCGACATTCGATTCCAAGATAAATCCATGTTTTCCAATGCTTTAAGGGCATTGTGTGGTTCTAGGCTTCCATTTAATGAATTGAATGATAAATTCAAAAGCCTTAGATTTTCAAAGTTCCATAAACTTGACGGTATTAAAGTCAGTTTATTGGAACTAATGTCCATCACTTGCAAACTACTAAGCTTTGTTATGCAACTCGGAATCGATCCAAAAAGCTTATTCGCCTGGAGATAAATTTCAAACAAGTTTCTCAAAAGGCAAATCTCACTTGGAATCGATCCGTGAAAGTTGTTAGCACTCAGATCTAAACTTTGAAGTCTCTCTATTCCTCCAATAGTTGAAGGGTTGTTCCCATTCAGATTGTTTCCCGCTAACAAAAGTTCATACAAATTTCTCAAAGAACCAATCTCTTTAGGAATTTGACCCATTAATTGGCATTCGGATACATCAAGCACTTGCAAGGACATCGAAAAATTTCCAATAGAATTGGGTATTGTGCCACTAAATTTATTTTCTCCTACGACCAGTTGTTGCAAGGAAGTGCAGTTTGTCAAAGCTGTGATAAAACTAAGTTGGGTACTTCCTGGTTCAGTTGTCAGTTGATTGTCTCCCAAGTCCAGCTTTTCAATGAGTTTTAGATTGCCTAAACTTTTGGGTATTGGTCCAGTAAATAAGTTACCATCTAGAAATAACCAAGTAAGCTTAGAAGAATTGGACAAATATAAAGGGATTTCTCCAACTAATTGATTGCATTCTAATCCAAGGGTTTCGAGATTAGGAAGCCATATCCTTGTAGTGGTTGGAAGATTTCCCGAAAAGGCATTCATATTGAAGTTAATTTCAGTCATTGAAGACTTGTTAAAAATTGCACGAGGTATTGAACCCGTGAGATTATTGGCTTGACAGTATAATCCACTTAGATTTGGAAGTAGTGATAGTTCTATTGGAATGTTTCCATAAATGTTGTTAAATTCTACTCCAAAGTATTCTAAGCTAGTAGTGTTGCCAAAGAAAGGTGGAATGGTACCTTGTAGGTTATTGTTTCGCCCGAGAAACAGAATACGCAGAAAGGGTAGTGTACTCAACTCTTTTGGTATGTCGCCACTAAAATTATTTGCTGAAAGAGATATAACTTGAAGATTCTGACACCGGTGTAACCCCACAGGGATGCTTCCTTCCAACATGTTGTGTTGTACTATGAGTTTTTTCAACCGACGCAAACATTCAAATTCATTTGGCAGATGACCATGAAAGCTGTTGTTGTGAATAATGAACACTTGAAGGAAGGAAAGGTTTCCAATATGAGGAGATATGGTGCCTTGGAGACCCATGTTGAGAAGGCGCAAACTTGTGACTCTTTGCCTTCGTCGGCTACATAAGATCCCAACCCAATCACAGAAGTTGGTTTCTTTGGTCCAATTGCTCAAAACATTGTTAGGATCAAAGTTGATTGAGGACTTGAAGGCTAGGAGAGCCAATTGATCAGTGTAGTTTGAGGCACAATTGGCCAACTCAAACATGCATGAGTGCACTACCAGAGCTCCCAAAAGGGAAGCAATGCAAAGCCTCTTCATGGACATGACTATTAGGTGGAGTAGGGGGCGTTTAGCTAGTGAAAGTGTATGATCTCTAATACAAGAACATTTTTCACGATACCTGTGACGCGTCAAAAAGCGGGAACATCAGAGAATATATTAACAAATAAATACAAGGTTTATCTAAGATTATAAAATAGGAAACGTCACTAATGAGTCATTTGATAAATAATCAAGTAAGATCCCACGAAAGTCGAAAGAGTCAATATAGCTTATCTTCAAAGTCCAACCACCTTAGATAATAAAATTGCCCTTTTGACAGATCTTAATAAGATATTAACATAAGGTTTACATGAGTCGACGAGAAAATAAGGAATAGGTAATATAAAAGATATGTATAAATATATAATAATTACAAAATCATGTCTTAAATACAACATGAGATCCATCACTTACAATCTTAAAACACATTTACAAACTAGTTTCCAATCCTCTCCTAGGGTAGCCGTACGTTCTCAAATGCTTCAGCTTTGTCTTTGACCGGTCTAATAGTCTTCAATACCTCACAAGAAACGCTATGAGCTTTGAATGCCTAGTAAATGCACACACACCCCGTCCCTTTACACCATCATATTTATAACAAACAAGTAGTGACGCATGATATTCAAGTCAATAATAAAGAATTACAAGGTTAGATGTTAGTAATCTAGAAATCCCCCAAAGATATTTCATCCTCCCAACCACTAAAATTGGATACTAGACTATTCGAAACTCCTCATTTTGCTGCCTTGTTGCATAACTTACCTCGGATGCCTATCAACAGTCATATACCGCGTAGCGCCAACTGTAGGGCCTCAAAAGGGACAGCGAAAATAAAAAGGTTTTATCACCTTGAATCCAACCTCATCCTTCCAAAAAAAAAGTTTTATCCTCCTGAATGTCCCATCTGGACCCAGCCTTATCTCACCAAATCAAATCATCGCAAAGAGTCTAAATACGTTTGTTCCATTATAGGGTTTATGCAATAACCGCTTGCACAAGACTTTGCTTCCGAATAGGGAACCCATTCCGTCAACCAATCAATAACCTAGTAACTTGTCCAAAAGTTTGCAAACCCATTACCGCCTATTAAGTTTCCCGTTTAAGTTAGATAATTTAAGTCAAAGTTAGAACATGCTCTTGAAACAACATCTATTGCACAAGTATGAACAACTACATAGCATAAATGGAAGGAAATAAAGTTACAGCACATGTGATTAACATATCAAAATATGCACAAGTAGTTCTAGCTATATTCATGTAGTTAAGGGAATAATATCACACAAGAATATAATTTTCTAGATTTGCATTGTAATAAAGATTGTAGACAAAAAGGCATTTTCAGATTTTTCCTAAACTTGGATTTCCTATGGTTTGTAGAGAATTTTATCTAGTTTTGAAAACATATTTTAGAAATTCATAGCTTTCCTAGATTTTTAGTTATTTAAGAAATACTCCAGCGCTGTCTAGACTCGTCGACTGTTATGGAAATTGGATTTTCTTGCAAACCGCTCACTATTTTTCAATGAAACCAATTTTCCTTGAAATTTAACTATTTAAGGAAGGTTTTGACATAAAACTGAGGTTTAGAATATTTTTCTACATTTTTATAGAATTTTTGAAAGTTGGCTATAAAACAAGTTTTTGATGCACAATACTTAAAATAAGAAGGTTGATGAGAAAAAATGCCAACTAAGGGAAATTTTTCACTTCTTTTGTGATGAAAACATACTAAATAATTTATCAATAAATCATATTTTTTGAGAGATGGTATGCCTTTGGAAATGATATGGTATATGGGAAGAAAAAGGTAATTTTGCATCTATTAAGAGGAAATATGAGTAGAAGAAGGATCAAAACCCAATTCATCAACTTTGAACACAAGAATACCATTACAACATATCTAAAAATATTATTTTAAACTTCCAATAACATGTATTTGAAAAAGGAAATAGAAGGAAAGGTGATGATATGGCTTACTTGAGGCTTGGTTGGTTAGCTAACAAGACTTTCTATTCCTTTCCTTTCCTCCACCAAGCTCACTCTCTTGCCCTCTCTTCCTCTCAGCCAAAAGAGGTGTTTGTGTATGTTTTCTTGTGTGCAAAATGCTAAGGGAGAGGTTGTATATATACTAAAATTGGTGTAAAAGGTCTAAAGTACGCATTGGTTGAAAATGGATTGGTTTTTTTGGATTTACTTGGAACTTAATGGAATAGTGAATGATTAGAGGTCTTAATTATGCAATTAATCATGATCTAGTTAGGCCTTGGTTAGGATTGAACCTAGGGTGGAAGCATAGTTCCATGTTCTGGGGGTACTAGCAAGCTTTTTCCATGAATTCATGGATTATGTTTGAAAAGATGTATAATTTTCTATTCTCTAGGGTAGCTGGCCATGTGGGGGATTTTGAGGAAATTATTTTATTTTTTTCTTATGTACAATTGTTGGAAATTTCAAAATATCGTATATAATATAGGTTTAAAGGTACAAGTGTGTGTATATATATATTAGTACTAGTTTGGGGTCAAAATGTGATTTAAGAAAAATATGAGGGCCAATGCCTTAAATTATGAATTTGAACATTTAATTAAGTGTAGTATTTAATTTATTTAGAATCTAAAATTTTAATTTGGTTAAATTTTTTTTTGTTTTGAATTAAACGGCGAATTGTACTAAGAACTGGAAACCTAGGGTTTCTATGTAGAAAATATACTTAGAAAATTAATTTAATTATTATTAGGATTTTAGAAATGGTTCCTAAGTTCCCGGGTTCAATTTAGGATTTGCGAGTTTTCGGTTGGTGCGCATTTCCTGCTCTATAGGTAAAATTGAAAAAAAAATAAGGAATCGAGGGTCTCTATTGAAATAGTTCAAAAGTAAGGGTTAAAATAAAATTACAAAGGTTAGGGGCCTCATAGTTAAATAATTAATATTAGTGTGTAGAAATGTTTACTAAGCTATCGGGGTCGATTAGGGTTTATACAGGTTTATTCGCGACGCGTCTTCGATTCTAGGGTTAAATTTGCGAATAAAAACGTAAGAACTTCATTATAATAACTCAAAATTTAGAGACTTAATAGGGTTCGTAAAAGTTAGGGGTGTCACAATACCATTGCTTTGACTATATATATTTTTTGTGCAAGTTAATCAGTTGAAGAATATTATATTTTAGGGACAATTACAAAATATAAAATATAAAAACCCCATGGTTAGAGCTTCTAACAAAATAAATCATGAGTTTTTAATTTTGTTAATTTAAATCTTAATCTTTTGATTTATTTTCAATCAAAACCATTCGCCTATTTTTGTTAAGTAAAACCGATTGAAAAACAGTATTGTAGTTATTAAACTTAATGTAGATATACAAAAAAAATGTTTAAAATACATTTTTCATTGAATTTAATGACTAAAATGGTAAAAAAAAATTTATCGATTTTATTTAACAGAAACAGACAAATAGTTTAGATTGAAAATAAATAAAAAACTTAGGGTTTAAATTTATAAAATAAAAAACTCAAAATTTATTTTGTTATAAGGGTTAAACCTGGAGTTTTTTTTTTTTTCCTTCTAATTTCTCCTATATTTTATAAATAGAAAATGATATATAAACTCACTTTTTAGACCCATTTTATAGACCTAATAATGTGTAAGTGATATGATTGATTGATGATTATAGAAGATATAAGAGAGAGTGTTACCTTTAATATCCTAATTGATTGTCATATCACTAGGCTTGAAATTTGAGTCTAATTTTTTGTTTTGAATAGCAATACTCTTTTTAAATTTTAAATAATTAAGTCAAAATAGATAACCAATCATTTAAAAATCTAGCAATATGCAATGGAGATAATCACAACCTATACTACATAATACAAGAAAAAGTCTATAAGGGGGAAAAACGTACATATATATATATATATATATATATATTAATATATGAAGTGTTTTGTTTTATGGGTAATGTTATGGTACACACCCTTAAAAGAGAGTTTACGGTGAATTTGATTTTCATAAATATCATAACTCAATCACATGAGAGTCATAACTAAAAGAAAAAAAAAAAAATAGTTATAACCAAACAATGTTATAATTAAAGAGCTCCTAGATCATAACTACATAATGTCATAACTTAATCACAATGAATCATAATTGTTATAATCACATACCACAAAGATTGTAGCTAAATGTGCATATGTGTACCATTGAATTTCCCTTTGTAGTTTGATCGTCTCCATAATGTGGAAGTTTTGGATCTCCTATTTGTGTAGGAATTTGTAGACTGAAAGAAAAATGGAAGGAAAAAATGAGAAATAAAAAAACTAAAATGAAAGTTATTAATTATTGCAATATGTGATGAATGTAATTATTATATTATGAATGAGGTGGAGTTAATGTTGCCTAATGTTTTTGAAGAGAAATATCATAAAATGTTTTAATGGAAAAATATTAAGATTTATGTTGATATTTGTTATAAAACCTTGTGATAAGATACATACGTTGTACCTTTTTGAAGAGTGCACAGTGCAACTACATCCAATAAAAATCATAGAAAATGAAGAAGAAAAAGGAAAATTGTGCAAGACGGGACACCAAGCCATCATTTTCAATCAAAAACTTCATAAATGACAACGTCAATGCCACGGCTTGGAGGAAAGATACGTACACAGAATTTCTTGATCGAAAATTTGTGGGGTTGACGAGTAAAATAAATATGATCGAGACTTACGGTCCATTAGCAAGGACTTAATTAAAGGTGGGATGAAATTCTGTATAAATTGATGTCAAGAAATTATTTTTTGAACTTGAGATCTCACCCCATCACAGAATGATTATTAGCTGTTTTTACGGTCACTTATGAAGTATGAGTACTTTGAAAAACATGTCATATCTGGATTGGGTATTTACCAACATATGGTACCTTATATGATACTTTTACATATGTACCAGATATACGAAACACATATCCAAATTTTTTTTCTCTTAATTTTTGGCATACCCAGATGTACGTAGTACATACTCAAGCCGTACTGTACCTCAGTTAAAACAATATTTTCTTCTACTACAGAGATAAAACTCATTTAACTAGATTTCGTTTTTATTTTTAATTTTATTACTTAGCATGATTTTATAATTAAATTATGATTTGTAAGTTATTTAATATATTGATATCTAATTTTGATTTATACATTTACTTTTGATGTTAAATGCTAATTATAGATTGGATCTTAATAAATTAAACCATTTAATTAATTTTTACATTGCTTTAAATTAAAATTAAATATTTTTTTACGAGCATACCAAGTTGTACCTGTACCTTTTTTTTTTTTATAGATTTTGCCATATCGACGTATCTGTATCGTACTAGTACCAGTACTCGTGACCGTACCCATGCTTCATAGATGGTCACATGTCATTTTTAATGTGTTATGATTAGTGGAGAAAATAAATTCATGATTTTATATCAGTAAGTGAAGAATATTAAAAATATATATAATATATAATGATTAGTCCTAAAATATAAATCCCCTAATGATTCAAGAATATTGAATAGTTTTTCCACACTAACCCTTGGAATTGGCTTGTAATTCACTTCAATGACTTCACAAATGCCAAACGGGTCATGCTGTCAACTTTCAAGGAAATAAATAGCTGGAATTGACTCCAAAGTCTTCATACGACTTCTAACTTATGGTTACAAAGGAAACGATCGTCATGCATTACAACTCATTTGAACTTGATTGATTGTATATTTATGCCTAACTCAATCATCAATTCAAGTTTAATTAATAAATGTTTTAAGCTCGAGTTAAAATATCTTCAAGCCTATAAAACTTGGCTTGACTATTATATGTGTATAAATAATAATATAAATTAGTACTTTATGCACATATAAAATGTCTTATATATGTTTATGTGGGGATATATTTCTTGAGTACCAACACGTGACATGGCGACGCCGACGTGTTTGGCCGAGGTGCCACGCGTCGTGGAAATTACGCCGAGGTGATCTCGGAGTTACTGAGGTTATCTCCGAAGATATCGGAATCCGAGATAAGCGAATAAGGGACAAGAGTCCTAGGACAAAGAGGAGACTTAGCCAAGATAAGGATAAAGCTCTTAGGGAGTTTATCTTTATCTCTTGAGAAATCCTAAGTAATCACTAACATTTTCGTTATAAATTCAAGTTTCTTTGAACTTGATTAATATTTAAATTTAACCAATTGAGTTCAAGTTTTTTCAATATATTTAATTTCAAACATGAACTCAAGCTCAAGTTTAAATAAATCCAATTATTTAAATGAGTTGAGCTCAAACACTATTCCACAGTTCAATTTAATTCGATTCATTCATGAATCATGATCCTACCTCTCCTCACTCCTTTGAGATAAGGGCTTCCACACCCCACACACACACACAAAATAAAAAAAAATAAAAAAAAAGTCCCAATATAATAAAGTCTATCAAGCACTAAAGATGCCTTGATGGAACTTACCGTACATACCATTGGAAGGGAATGATACCTTGTTTTTTTATTTTTTCTTCTGAAAATTAAGTTTTTATTTTTTTGTATTTTTTTTACTTTTAGTGAACAATTTTAAATATTTTATGTAATTTTTTTTAAATACATCTAATTTAAATACATTTAAAAGGTATAATATTTATGAAAAAAATATTTACAAAATTCACTAAGTACAAAAAAAAATGAAAACTTTTGTATTTTTATGTACTTATTGATTTTTTTGATATATTTTTTCACAAATTTTTACTTTTTATGTGCATCTAAATTAGATGCATCTTAAAAAAAATTTAAAAAAAAATTAAAATATTAAAAAACATTTACTAAAAAACACAAAAAAAATAAAAAAACTCAATTATTAAGAAAGGGTTTAACGTGGTGTTGGAAAATTGAAAATTAGAAACTAAAAAATAAGTATTGAAAACTGAGTGATGAATTTTTTAAACTGAAAAGCAGTTTGATAAAAATTTAAGTGCTAAATTAAAAATAAATTATTTGATATGTATAAGATCAAATTAAAATTTATTATTTTTAAATTGTATATTTCAATTTTTATATTGTAATGGTGGTGGTGATGGTATGGTGGCGGTGGTGCTTATAGTGAGATTATAATAATGTATATTGATATTTATATTTAGTATTTATAAATTTATTCATTCCTCGGTTTTTTATTTTACAACATGTGGCATTATTTCATTGGTCCATCTAACTTTCTATCATTCTTAATTTTACCTTAACCACACATAATCACAGTCACCCCTATCAGTCATTCATTGGCTCATCTAACTTTATATCAATCCCCGATTTTACCTTAACCACACATAATCACAGTCCCTCCCAACCATCTCCATATTATATTTAGAGTAAATTACACGTTGCCCATTTTCACCCTTCAAGTTTTAAGTTCTTCTCGGTATACTT